TAGAACTGGGATAAAATACCATCACCAAATTTTAACTGTGCGGCTTAAAACTAAAGTATCCAAGGTAAAGAACCGACATGCCAAAATAGAGCTTATAATGGACACTTTGCTGATTTCCTGGCTGTGACAAATGGAGCGGGGAAAAAAATTATACCTGTAATCTAGAGGTACGCTTATAACATTTCAGACCTCTTATATTTCCTGTTTTATATTTTATCGAAATGTGCAAGAGATCAAAATGTGATGCGAAGGTGCCATGCGCTAAATAATAATAATAATAATAAGAGATAACTTTTTTTGCTATTCATTTTACACCGGAGCATGAGTAAAATATCACCAGAGCTCCTATTTGAAGGCAGATAATTGAAACATTATTGTTTCTTCTCCTCCTCCTCCTCCTCCCATTTCTCTAATTGAAAGATATATAACGAGGTGCTTCTGATTGTCTCTGATAATGGAGCAAGGAGTATTTACCTGTTTCCAACTGCAGACTATCATGTAATTTATCTCGGTGGAATACACAGCCTGTATGGTACTGCCTTTCTCGGCATGATTTGTAATGGTTTCCGGTTGCCCTGGATAACTAGTAACCCAGGGAATGAATTTCTTCTTTTAGTGTTTTGAAGATGGAACGTATTGATCATGAAAAGAATAACATTTTCACCATAGCGTAAACCGCTTGCAAGTAGCAAGCAGAGAAGGATGCAGGGCTTCCTTGACAAGTTACCCCCACTCCTCCAAAAAAAAAAAAAAAAAGTAAAAAAGGGAGGCAAAAAAAACAGCGATGGACTTTGCTGGAAGGGATAACCAAGGAATTAATGTCTAATTATCAAGCCCGGGAGATTCGTTCCGAGGATCTGATTTCACAGCAGTTTTTTTCCTTGAGAAAAGAAAAAAGAAAAAAAAAAAGCAGATCTGATTTTCCAGTGAATTAGCATCCCCAAAATTTTAAAAGGTATAATCAGTGGTGAGATTCAGCCAGTTTGCACCAGTTTGGAAGAACCGGTTGATAACTTTCTGAGCAGTTTGGTAAACCGGCTGTGGGAAGGAATCATTAGGGCAGAGAACCGGTTGTTAAAATTATTTGAATCCCACCACTAGGTATAAATAACAGAATAAACCGAATCACGAGAGTCAAATTTGGTCTCACAGGGAAGGCTTCCAGGGCTAAAATCCAGGAGGCCGTGAGTTCTAGTTCTGCTTTAGGCTCAAAGGCAGGGCCAGTCAGTTTCTCACAGCCCTAGGAAGGAGGCAATGGCAAACCGCTTCTGGAAAACCTCACCAAAGGGACCTTTCTCCCGGTGGTCTCTGAAAATCAGCCACACCATTGAGCAGAAGAAAAATAAAAAGAAAGAAAAGTGGGGTGCCAGTTTGGTGTAGGGGTTAAAGACACCGCACCAGGCGCAGCGAGAAACCTTAAAAAATGTGGCCGTTTTCTCAAGCGCCAGAACTGGAATTAATTAATTCATTCATTCATTCACTGAATGCGAGGCAGGTCGCCTATTATTATTATTGTTGTTGTTGACTATTGGGGTGACTATTGTTCCTATCTTAATTGTCTTGTGTCCGCCGGTACCCAGAGTCTCACTGAATTGGTCAGCCCCCTAAATCAGGGGTCCCCAAACTTGGCCACTTTAAGACTTGTGGACTTCAACTCCCAGCCTTCTCCAGCCAGCTATGCTATGGGAGTTGAAATCCACAAAGTCTTAAAGTGGCCAAGTTTGGGGACCCCCTGCCCTCAATTCTTGAGAGGACCAAACAAATTCAAGATAAAGCAAAGGCTTTCGGTTTTTGTTTTAAATTTAATCAAGAATTTAAACTGAAGCAAAGACGGGTTGTTAAGTGGATGTTCAATAGATAAATGCAAGCCTGAAGGGGGCTAGTGGGAAAAATCTCATCTCAGGTAGGAGCAACGTAAGTTATTTTATTGAGGGGGGGGCTTCTCCCTTCCCTTTGGGCCTTCGAAGTGGGAGGGGGGATGGATTCCAAGGGAGGGAAAGACTGCAAGGCCAGAAAAGGATTTTCCCCTCCCCTCTTTAAGGCACTTTGCTTCACACAACTACAATCCCCAGCTTTGGAATGCACACATTTTCAGAGTATAGGACACAACTGGCTGATCAGAGGGAGAAGCAACTTAAACTGGACCCAGTCAGCTGGTTAAAGCCCCCTCACGTGCCCCCCCTCCAATCCTGACTCTGAATCCAGAATGTTACTGGGCTGTGTCTGACCCAGGTTCCCAGCCTTGTGTGAACCCTGCAGATTAATCTGGACCAGGGAAGGATGTGTGTGTCAACTTTGTGGGAATGTGGGGACCCTGCATACTTCTCTCTCTCTCTCTCTCTTTCTCCTCTTTCTCTTTTCCTTTTCTCCCTCTTTCTTTCTCTTCCTTCTCGGTCTCTGGCTCTTTCCCTTTCTTTCTTCCTCTTTCTCTTTCTCCTCTCTCTCTCTCTTTCCCTCTCTCTTCCTTCTCGCTCTCCTCCTCTTTCCCCCCTCTCTCCCTCTATCACTTCCTCCTCTCTTTCCCCCTTTCTCTTCCCCCTCTCTCTTCCCCTTCTCTATCTCTTTCTCTTCCACTTCTCTCTCTCCCTTTCCCTTTCTCTTCTTCCTCTCTTTCCCTCTTACCCCTCTTTCTCTTCCTCCTCTTTTCTCCCTCTTTCTATCTCTCCCTTTCTCTTCCTCCTATTTTTCTCCCTCTTTCTATCTCCCCCTCTCCCTCTTCCTCCTCTCTTTCCCCTTTTCTCTTCCTCCTCTCTTCCCCCTCTTATATCTCTTTCTCTTCCACTTCTCTCTCTCCCTTTCCCTTCTTCTTCTCTCTTTCCCTCTTACCCCTCTTTCTCTCCCTCCTCTTTTTTCTCCCTCTTTCTATCTCTCCCTCTTTCTCTTCCTCCTCTCTCTCTCTCTGTCCCCCTCTATCTCTTCCTGTCTTCCTCGCCTCTTTCCCCCACTCCAATCCGGCGGCGCCTGCCTCGCCGGCTCTCGCTCGCTCGCTCCTTCCTCCCCACCCACCCCGCTTCTCTCTCCCCCCTCCCCCGCTCTCTCCCTCCTCCCTTCCCTCCCTTCCTCCTCCTTCTCCGCCCTCGGCCGGGGCTCCGCGTTTTGCGGCCGACCCGAGCTGTATTTCCAAGGCTGTCCATGGCTCGGTGCTGTTGGCTCTCTCTCCGTCTGATCAGCCCAGGCTGTGCGGGGCTCCCTACGGGATCAGAGCGCTCCCCCGCCGGGACTCCACTCCTCACATCCTCCTGCTGGGACTCAGCTACATTTCCAGCCAAGCCTGGCTTTATTATGTGTGTCTGCACTGCAGCCCCAGCAGCCAGAGCAGGGAAAAGAACCAGGACAAAGAAGAGACGAGAAGGAGGCTGGCGAGAGCCGAAGCGGAGCGAGAGCCACAGAGGCGGCGGAGGCGGCTGGACCGGCCATGGAGGCAGGCACCCTCGGCCCGGCTCGCCGCGACTAACCCATGGAGGCAGCTAGCGAGCCCGGCGGGCAGGCAGCAGCAGCAGCAGCAGCAGCAGCAAAGGCAGCAGCGGCGGCGGCGGCGAAGCAGCAGCAGCGGCACCAGCGGCACCAGCGCTCCGTGGGCTCCCCGAAGCGGGTTGGGGCGGGAGGCGGCGGTGGTAGAAGAGAAGGAGGCGGAGGCGGCGGCGGCGGCGGTGGTGGTGGTGCAGGACGAACCGGTCCGGTCCGCTGGCCCAAAGCCGGTGGGAGAGCTGGACGCCGCTAAGCCAGCCGCGCCGAGCTCGTGAAATTCTGTCTCTCTCTCGTCCTTCGCCTCCACAACCCCCACCACCACCCCAAAAAACCCCCCTCCACCCTCCCACCGAAATCAAACGGGGGGGGGAGCTTGCCCCGCGCCCTTTGGAGCTCTGGGGCTTTCGGAGAGAGAGAGAGAGAGAGAGAGAGAGAGAGAGAGAGAGAGAGAGAAGGGGGGGAGGGAGCCCCTTCCCCCAAATACTGTGTCTTGACCCCCCCCTCCCTCCCTCCTTGGGGGGAGACCCGGGACAGGTTTGCCAGCCACAGGAGGAGAAAGAGGCGTCCCGGGGGTGGAGGTGGGGGCCAGGGAAGAGGAGGAAGGTGTGTGTGTGCGTGCGTGGGATTATTTTTTTTTTTTTAAATACACGCAACTAGGCAATTAGGCGGCGGCACCTCCCCATCCCCCCCCCCCTCCGTGCCTCCGTGGCCCCCGACCCGGGTTTTTTTTCCCCCTTTCTCTTGTCTTTTGCAAAGAGGGTTTTTTGGGGGGGCTGGGGGGCGCCTTTGTGTTGTTGTTTTTTTTCCCCTTAAAAAAAAAATCGGAAAGGTTTCCATTTCCCAAAGGAATTTTTTTTTAGAAAAAAAAAGGGGGGGCTTTAAATGAAAACATTGCCCCCCCCACCCCAAGGAGAAAAAAAGGGGGGGCGGTGGGTGGGTAGGGAAGGAAAATCCAAGCTCGGGCGCCCAGGAAGAAGCCGCGATGGGGAGTTTGGGCGGGGAGGGGGCAGCGAGAGGAGCGAGAAGGGGAGTTGAGGTCGCCTTGATTGATTTGCTTAATTGAAAAGGCGCGCTCGGGAATGTGTTTGTGCTCTTAATTATTAAATCACAATTGATAGCGGACCGGGGGAGGGAGGGAGGAGTGGGAGGGGGGGGGGAAGAGAGAGGGGGTGAGTGGGGGGGTGGGTGGAGGGAGAATCTTTTGAGCCGAGCCGGGTCGAAACCCTCCCAAAAGCGCCCCCCAACTAGGTGTTTGGTTTTCAAACAAACAAACAAACAAACAAAACAGAGGAGGGGGGGAGAAAAAGAGAGAGAGAGAGAGAGAGAGTTGCAAGTTGCCGCATTGCAACAGGCAAAAAAGAAGTGAGAAATCAAAGAATCGATCCGGCCGCCGCCGCCGCCGCCGCCGCTGCTGCTTCGCCCCTGCTGGAGAGCCGCCGGTAGACTAAAGTTTCCAAGTGGGAAAAGAAGGAAGGAGGGGGGCAGAGACACCCGGAGAGACGCAGGAAGCGAAAGAGGAGGGGAGAGAAAGAAGAGCGAGAGGAGAAGAAAGAAGAAGAGGAGGAAGGAGAGAGAGAGAGGGAAAAAAATAAAAGAAGAAGAAGAAGAAGAGAGGAAGCGCCCTAAGAAGCGCCGGCGTGGAAATGTCCCGCAGGAAGCAAGCCAAGCCGCGCTCGGTGAAGGGTAAGTCGGTTGCTCCGCGCGCGCGAGACTGAGTCCGGCTCCGAGCCGGGATTCCGGCTTCGGGAAGCGGAGGAGCCCGTAAGCGTCAGCCTCCCCCCCCGCCTGCCTGCCCGCCCGCCTCTGCCTCGTGACCAAGCGGAGGTTGGGGGGCCACGGTGGTGGTGGGGACGCCGAGCTTGGCACCGCTTCCTCCAGCCTCTTCCACCCGCTTCCCTCCCGTCTATTTTTCTGGGATCTGCTGCTCGTGGGGGCGGCCGGCGGAATTCCAGCGAGGGGGGAGGAAAGGGCTGGCCCGGTTGCCTTTCCAGCCAGGCGTGACCACCCGTGGCTTGGAAGGCGCGGCGGTGGCCTCCGGTCCCCAGACCTTTAAAGCCGTGCCTGGCTCGGAAGGATCCGGTACCACCCAGCGCTGTCCGGGGTGGGTGGGTGGGTGGTTTTGGACCGCGGCTCCTCTATACCAGCATCGTCTTGCCAGCGTGGAGGCTAGCAAGGGATTGTGGGAGATGGGGCCGAACATCTGGAGGGATCCAGGTTGCCTGCACCAGCTGTGGATCCTAGGGAGCGCGCTTGGGAACAGGCAGGGGTGGCTGGGAAAACTTCCGAGGGACCGGGAGGCTGACTGGTTTCAGCATCTCCTGGGTGGTTGGGGGCCGAGAGGGTGGGGCTCCCCCAGCAAGTAGAAAATCGCCAAATAAATAAATAAAGCAAGCATGCAGGTTTGGGATGCAAAGTCCTCCCTGAAGAGGCGTTTGGTTGACCTGCCTCGCTGCTGCTGCTCATCATCAAAAAGCGTTGCCTTCTGATATCCGGGGGGGAAAAAAGGGTGTGTGTGTGTGTGTTAAGTCTCTGCCCCAAATACTTATCCCCTTATAGATTTCAGAGGTGGGCTTGACAAGGTGTGGAATCCTCCTTTCCTTCCCCAGATTTATGGAGGGTTTGCTTGCTGGCAAACCGGGTTGCAAGGAACAGCCTCTCTTGCTTCCTGTTGCAAACTTTCAAGGGATTGTTTTAAAATAGTAACTGGAGATGGCTTCTGGTAGGAATAAGCCTATCTTACTCCTGGAGCAATTCCGTTGGTCTCCGCAAAGCTCTCCAGGGGGGGGGCCTGTTCCTGTGGCTCCTAGCCAGGTTGGTTACCTTTTGTGTGTTGGAATGGAGCGGCAGACACCTAGCCTTAAGGACCAGTTGTTAAACAGGTTTCAATCCAAACTATTCAGGAATGCAATAGGGCTAACCTTTTACTGGAGAAAGACTTGGAGGACTGGGGTAGATTTTTAAGTTGGAGGTGCAGTTTGAACAATGCCAGTTTGGTCTAATAAGTCGAGAGTGTATTCTGACTGAGCAGCCAGTCGCTGTGACTCCATAGGTTCCAGAGAAAAATCACTGAGAGAGAGAGAGATGGAAGTTATGGGATGTTTCCCGCCTGGTATTTTGGAGCAGGACTTCCATCCATTTGCTCATGTGGAAAGGACGTCCATATTTGTAGTTCAACCTTGGAGGGGTGCTTGTTGCTCTCTGAGCTTGGTGGTTTCCTGGCAGATGTTTTTCTTTACCAAACCGGGTAACACCATCCCAACTTTGATGCTTGCAAGAAAGCCATCAAGGAGCACCAAAGACCCCACAGAATATGGAGATTCTTCCACTGGTTGATCTTGGAAGTTTGCTAGTGCTTCCTGGCTCTTGTGAATTGGTTCCAAGAATGCCATTCTTCAAGGATTTTTGATATGGACGTCCTGGGATCTCATCCCACCTGGACTGAAAGAGATTCCTCAACAAATCTCTGCAGCAGGTTGATGGGGCCTCCTTTCTGGTTCTCCATCCTAATTTTCCCAGATGCGGAAACCAAATCCCCGTCTGCTTTCCCAAATCCATGCCTCTCAAAAGTTTTTCCTCTGCGGAATTGACTCCGGGGGCTGTGCGTTCCCTCTCCTCTCAACCCTAAAGGAAAATTACATCCTCTTTAACAAAAGTAGCTTTATAGTAAATTGCAGACCAAGCAAACCCCATCGCTCCCTCGGGCAGCCTGGGGACAGTCTGTTGGCAGCTAATGGCAAACGGTTTTGATGTAGCCAGGAGAATAAGATTATTATTCTCCAACTCTTTTTTTTTCTTCTCCTTCTTAAAATTGCTACCACCAGAAAAGGATTTTTAAAGTCCCCTCTGGGAGCAGGTTAATTTGATTTTGTTCTTACGAGAATGCAACTTAACCCACCGCTTTCCCCTGTTCTGGCATCTTTCCTTTTCTTCATCCCCTCGTTTTTCATACTTTTCTTAGTGGAGAATTAAAAGGAATTGCTCCGCAACTTTTTCTTAAAGATTATTAAGTGGGTTTCAGCTGAACAGTCTTCTAAAAAATGGGAGTATTGTGTTTGCATTGGGGAAGTAGGTTCCTTTATATGATGTAGTCTGTTTGGAAGGCTTACCTTCTTGTTCCATCAATAATAAAGGTTCTTGTCCTGTATTTTCCCCTATCATCCGTTTTAAAGACTTGAGCTTCTTTAGCAAAGTAGCAGTGTGTGTGTGTGTGTCTGTGTCTGTGTGTTTCCTATTTAATAGAGTAAAAAGCATCATAACAAACGTGGCTAATTTGGGTGTTTTCCACCACTCTTTACAAGTGTATTTGTATGGCCAGTGTCTTAGACCCTTTTTCTTCCCATGTTCAAAGAAGGTGGGATTTGTGACTCAACTTCTGGATAGCTGCTGTCCTGTGTTACATTTTTAATTTTATTCCCCCTCCCCCCCAACTAAAAGGTGAAAAGTTTATGGAATAATAATATTTTTTTAAAAAAAAAAACAGATGGAGAAGGGAAAGGAAATAGAATGGGTGGCAAGCTGAAAATGAATGTCCATGACCCACATTTTTTCATTTTCCTTATTCCCTTAGTAGGTTTTTTTTTTTTTTGGTGGTGGGGCAGGGAAGACAGGAGAGCTGTCTGCTAAATGCATAGGATTGTAGTCCTAAGGGATCAAATAACTGGACCAAACTGTGAAAAATTAAGATGTGAGGAGCATGAGATCATTTTATTACAAGTCTTGTTATTTGCACCAGCCTAAGAGTTACTTTGCAAAGACAGATGTTTTTGTATTGCATAACTAAACCAGCAACAGAGCTACACTCCTAGGAAGCTTTAGCAACGTAGGAACAAAGTAGAATTAGGTTGGGCTATTTACCAGGTTACCTGACATCTCTCTGCGGCTAATGATTTGAAGGTATTTCAAGAGGGTTGATATCCAATCCCAAGAACACTCGTGTTAACAGATCTAGATGGTGGATTGTGGTATAATGACTGCTCATTGGCTCATAGCTCTCCCTCCCAAGCAACCCAGCCCCAATTCCAGTTTAGTTCCAGAGTTTAAATCCAGACATAAAAGAGCTGCAATTGAATATTGCTCAACAACTTAAGCTGAAGCTGTAACATAGCTGAATGTCTTATCTGTGACATGGAACCTGTGTTCAGTGGTGCAAATGAATTTGGCCTCCAGGTTTGTTACTTTTACATTCCTAAAGTTTGCAACAGAGTAGAATAGAATAGAACAAAAGAGTTGGAAAGGACCTTGGAGGTCTTCTAGTCCAACCCCCTGCTTAGGCAGGAAACTTTATAGTATTTCAGATAACAAATGGTTATCCAATCTCTTCTTTAAAAATTTCCAGTGTTGGAGCATTTACGACTTCTGGAGGCAAGTTGTTCCACTGATTAATTGTTCTAATTATCAAGAAATTCCTTCTTAGTTCTAGGTTGCTTCTCCACTGTTTCTTGTCCTGCCTTCAGGTGCTTTGGAGAATAGCTTGACTCTCTCTCCTTTGTGGCAAACCCTGAGATATTGGAACACAGCTATCATGTCTCCCCTGGTCCTTCTCTTCATTAAAGTTAGACATATCCAATTCCAGCAACGATGTGATGTTTAGGACTGGGAAGGTGATCCTATTGAGTTCAGAATAAAGGTTAAAAAAATCTCATGAATACTTTAGCATCGAAGTAGATTTACTACCAAGAGAAGATAATATTTGTAGCTCGGAGTTGAACTGTAGGGTCCTTGGTGCTCTTGACCTTGGTGGTTTTCTTGCAGATGTTTCCTTACCCAGCTAGGTAACATCATCAATGCATAAGTGCACAGGTATATATAGAGTTGGAACTTGGTACTATGTACATTGAGTTGGAATAAGATTCACTGAACTTTGTATGTCTTCATGTTTGAGATAATAGATTTTTATTTTGCAGTGCATGAGGCAGAAAGCAGAAATATCAGAGAGTAAATCTTGTTGGAACTGAATAAATAAACATAGGCGATGTTGCCCTTGCTCTAATGTGTCATAAAATTATATTTTAAGTGGACTTTTTTTGGAAGGTGGGAGAAATAGTTTACATGGTTTATATTCTGCCCAGAGCCATTGAGAATGGGTTGGCATACAAATATAATAACAATTATAATAATTAAACATGCTTCTGTGTGTGTAACTTCTGTTTTTATTGTTGCAGAATAGCTTTGTTACATTTTTAAAAGTTGCAAAGAAAATCTATATTTGGAAGATGGAAGTGCGTAATGCGTGGAAACTGAAGTACAGTTGTAACAAAATATCCTGTTAAAGGTTTCCTTTCTCTCATCTTTTTATCTACTACACAATCATTTTACAAATTGAAGGAAAAAAAAGTTTGTTCATGGACAAAGAACAAAACAAACCTACAAAATGAACATCATTTTCCAGGTGGTTCATACGGTGACTTTATGAATTGCATCCTTCCAGTTAGTGGCTTGCTGACCACAATAGCATAACTATTCGTAAACTTATTCCCATTTTATTTGTTAATAGGGGAAAAAATGTAACAAGCTATTAAAAATCAAGGGGAATGGTTTTTCTCCTGGAAAAACTAAGAAAATAACAACAACTTTGCAACTTCATTTGAATTGTAGGAGTTGTAATTGTAGGAATAGGAATAGAATAGAATGCAGGAATAGAACAGAGTAGAGTAGAGTAAGAGCAGAGTAGAGTAGAGTAGAGT